ATAATATTAATCCGGATCATATTTCAATATATATCAAATGAATTTTATACCAAATGAAAGCCCATCAAAAATGGAATTTAGGAGTATTACTAGTCATTCATAAGATGAGAATGGGCTATAGAATACCATCAAGTTTCATGTGGTTCGACACTCACATGAGTGACTAGTCAATCACAAAAACATTAAGTTCTCAGAAACTATTTTTATCTATGGGGCTTTGTAGAGCTTTCGTTGCTGATCATTTTGTTAAAAACATTTTTTCAGTTTGTTCAATAAATAACAGTACTAAGGTGAAAATACCAAAAAATATCTTACTCGTATTGGTCGGAATAGTCTGAAATTTTCGGTATTTTGACCCTAGCATTGTTATTTATCGATGAAATTTTTAAAAAAAATTTACCAAAATGATCAGTGTAGAGAGCTCTACAAAGGTCAACAGACAAAAACATTTTCCGAGAACTTGTTTTTTTTGTTCACTATCAGTGAAAGGCCCAATGATACGACTAAAACTTGAAACTTTCCGTATTTCTATAGTTGATTCCTCTCTTATGAATGACTAGTCATACTCCTAAATTCCATTTTTGATGGGCTTTCATTTGGTATAAAATTCATTTGATATATATTGAAATATGATCCGGATTAATATTATTTCCTACCCTGTAAGATCTGTGAACCGAGCATTTTGTACAAATATCGCTTTTGGTTCCTTCAAGGATTTGTTCTTAATAAACCTAACCATAAGTACAGTTTCAAATGCTCTTTAAAATGACTATTTGCTTTTTGAAATTACTTGAGTGGTTGCAGAGATATATCGATTACAAGAGTTCTGTGAACTTTTTTTCCATACCTTAGTTTAGTCAATATTTTTCTCAAAGAAAGACGCTTCATCTTCGTTGACTAGAAACAAGTATTGGACAAATAATGTCTAGTGAGAAAAAAACGTTTTTTACTTTATACTTAATTATTTTTCGTATAAATATGTTTAGAAGTAATGAAAATTGACTTGATTTAATTCGAAGAATAATTTTAATAATAATGAAAGATGCATCGAAAGAATATTTAATACATTGTTTAATAAATATAATACTTTGCTCCATTAAATGGAAAACGCTTTATTTCACTTTTATTAAGAAAAACTTCATCGAAATTTTTTATGCAAATTAACTGAAAATGATAAAGACGTTTTGCCTAAAATTGGATTTGTTAAACAAAATAAGCATAACCATTTATGGAAAATATTGAATTCTAAGTTTAGTTCATATAATATTAATATTTCTTTGTCTATATGTATTGGAACATGTTTATTTAAATAATAAAATGAATAAATTCCAAAAAACTCTTAAAATAAATGGTGAATTTTTATGAAAAAGTTGATAATGATGTTTTTCAAAGAACAGCTTATTTAATATTCAAAAAAAAAACTATTCAAATTCCATTTATTTGTATTGATATTTTAAAAAATATTCTGAAAACGATAATTTAGTGATTAATCATCTTATTTGTCGTCTTCAACAAGGACAATGTTTTGATCCTTTGGAATTTAATGAAATTAGTTTAGCTTTTTTATTTTTAATTAAAGAAATAAATTATTTTTCATTTATATGTAGAAAGAAAACTACCATGGTTTAAAATATTTATAGGTAAAAAAACCTGAAAATGGTTTTATGTTTATAAATGGTAAAATATAGGAAAAATTCTTTGACGAAATTTGTCGAGATATTGGATTTCGTTCTCAATATTATTGTATTATCGATAGACGAATTTAGAAAGGTTACTTTTATTTATTTTGACAAATAAGTGTAATTATAAATCATCAAGTTTAACAAACAATTCAACGGAGGAACTATTATAATAATGCCACATCCATACTCTGGTCACTGAAACATTTATCATATTATTTGGGCTCTATTACATTTTATTGAATAAGATTAAAATGTTACGTTTCGTTATTGATTACAACTTCTTCAGGCACAAAACTATGAACAATTGTAGAAGAGAAATGAATGAGATATAAAATGGAGGAGCGTGGATGTACATTTGAACGGGTATGTGCTTATGAGTTTAGGTTTATCTATCTGGCTCAAAAAGAAATTCTTAAAAATTGTTTCAAAGAAACTGGCTGGACATCCATGAATTCACCTTACATAAAATATATGTATTTAAACGATACAAATATACTGATAGATTCTTTGAATAAGTGTCTTCTATAAAATATAGAAATTTTGATTTATTTTGTAATTTCCTCACACCTGAAAGTCTATTACTCAACAAGTTCTCTTCGATATTCCCAGAGGAATTTTAAGAATGTAAAAAATGCCCCTTTCATTAGAACATTTTCAAGGTAGATTGTGTGTTGACCACTCGCTTCATCGATTTCAATGTTAGTGACATGAACTATTGTTCCTGGTAAAACGAGAACCTCATATTCATCTTCGAAGTCAGATATGGATGGTAGAATGTCAGAGAGATGAAAGAGTTGAATAGCTGTGTCACATTTTTTTGAAAAGTTGAACACCATCAAAATAGGAATCATGTCACGAGATGCAGTACCAATAAAGCGACAAGCCACGTTTTTGTCTACAGATGTCGAACAGAAACTGTTTATTACCAGGATGCTACTTTTGTGTTTTAGACTCCATTGGTATGCTCTCAGACCTTGTCGAGTCATTGTTAAACCACGAAATGAGCGATCCTGATACGCAAGCTTTCGTAAACTGTCCAGTTTATAAAAAAGTGACAATGATAATCAATTATTGGCATCATCTTTACCGATGTTCTTGTAAAAAGGTGTTTCAAGTGAATAGGGATGCAAAAGATGTTCAACATTCTTGGTTTTTACATATTTCGAGACAAGTTCACATGCTTTATGATACTGAGAATCTGATGGAGTGATATGTTCATCAATAAGACGTTATAGATCTTTTGCAACTGTTCTTTCGTTGTACACATCATCGGGATTATCTCTGTCACGAATGATACGCTAAAATAATGATCGCAGAGTCGATGATGTACTCATTGTTTTTACAGTAATCACGATAAGCTTTTGCAAACGAATCTCCACTTAATCATAAACACCTTCAACCTAGTCGTTGGGCGCCTCATCGTTGTCGTCTTCGTCACCTGCTTGTTCAGTAACGATCGAAGTAAACAGATGCTCAACATCAGTAGTAGCGTTGCTATAGAATCGTTGTGAATTCGATGAACGATAGAATAGTTGATGAATTTCGTCAGTAGCTGCCTCTTCATATGCAGTGAGACCGTATCGATTTCGTCGATGATGTATAACGCCGAATTGATGCAGAAGTAATCGAACAATGTCAGCATGGCCGAAAAAGGAGGCTGCGTGTAGAGCGGTGCTTCCGTTTGGCTGGAGACGATTGATATCAATGTAAGTAGTTGATGCGATAATTTGTCGAACGGTATCGATGTCACCAGCTCGGCAAGCCCAATAGAGATCAGTGGCTTCGCCCTGTTGTGGATGACGAAGAATTAATGCCTCCTTCTTCTCTTCAATGCTTGTGTTGGTTCCCATTCGTCATGTGCTTCACCAAGAAGACGAAAGCAAATGATTTTATTTGGTGTACAAACAAAGCAAATAGTAATTTCAAGGTGAATTGCGGCTGAAAAGAAGAGCTCTACTGTCATCATTACATGCAAAATAAGCCATAAACGACGAGTTAAACTTTCGTGAGTGCTTATGGACGTGAATCATCTCTTCGTTTACATCTACCTCACATCCACATTAGCATTTTAAATAACGCTTGCTATTCCAATTTTTCTTACAAAATCATTGACACTAATAAAACGAAAGACTGCATTTCTCACCTTTACAGGGCTTTCTTTTATATTGAATGTGAGAAAGCTGTGGATAGAGAGAAAAACGAAAGATAAGGAAAGAATGAGAGAAGATTGGAAAAATACGATGAATAGATTTTTTCTTTCGTTCTTGAGATATGCGATTTGTTTTTTTTTTTACAATACTTCTTGAGTCTTTTAGCAGTCATAAAAGATTCGTAGTTTTGATTCTTTAAGGTAACTTTGATCATGGTGTGTTTCTTTATGAAAAACATACGAGAATTCGCACATGACTACGTTAACAATTGATACAAGTCATTGGTGAAAGAATATTGTAGAAGCGTTGTACCGTTCTTATTTTTGAATATCTATGAAAAATACTTTTCTTTCAAAATCGTTGGAGAACCCCATATCCACCATATTGCTTCGTTTATTGCAAAAAGCATGGAAGGAGATTCTTTTTCAAAGCGGTATGGTTTCAATTAAAACGAGAACATGTTTATAATTGTTTTCATGGCTTTTTTAGAAGACTCTTTTTTGCTCCACTACAAAACAAGAGAAGATATTCATTATCTGTCATATAAAAAATGGCATCGTTGAGGATGTGAGTGTAGGTATGCGGATCTCTGATAGCATGTAAGGGAAACATGCTTTAGCACTCAGAGCCACACTCTCTACTGAAAAAAAAACAGACCACTATCAGAAAAAGCAACATTGATTGCTTTGTAGAAAAATAAATTAAGTACCAATTGAATTCAGACCTATATTTGCATACGAATTTCAAATGAGTCGAATATAGACAGGAAAACACGATCATTTATTACAAGCCATCCATTTAAATTGCAGTGTATCATTATTTCGTAGTGTGTATCAGACTTATGAAACAATGTATAAATACATTCTCTTTAGGATAGAAAGAATTTTCATCCGTATACAATCATTCCTAACAATTTGGATCGAATTTATTCAACAGAGGTCCATGTTGAATATTTTCAAGAAGATAAGAATAAATCTCATCGACTAAATTACTTATCTATTGTTGAATATGAATTTCAGAAATACTTTATGTGTAAAGTGACTTTTGCTTTAAATGAATAATAATCAAATGATGAAATACGAATGTAGTAACCTGAAATGACAAAAACAAAAGAATTTTATTTAATAATAGCTCTGTAATGTTAAATTAATTACGGTCAACTATACGCACTTACTTTGTTCTAAAACAAATTTATTTTCGTTACAACTTTTATTTATAAAAATTCAATGAAAACGATTAATATAGGTTTCACTTTTCGGTCGGTTTTTCTTCCATATATTGTTACGATCAAATAGTGACGCATATATTTATTTCTTTTTCTTATTTCATTTGATAAACTACCCTGTTTTGTGTTGACATAGAATGGTTCGCGCCCATACCCATACAGCGTCATCTACGTTCTAGTAACATTTTATGTAAAAAAATAATAATTGAGGATGAGGAACATTCTCACAGGAAGAATCATTGCTCAAAGACATTTTCACCAAGGATATTTCTTCAAGGACGAAATATTGCCGATATTTTTTTTCGAGGACTAAACTTGGAGACCTTTCGTAAAGAACATTTTTGAGAGAATATTCTAGCCTGTTAGCCACATCCACAGGCATACCGTAGTACAACACTATGGTTTATTTGTAAAATATTCAACGTTGTTTCTTCTTTATGCACAAAATGCTTTGATAACTCTATATGATAACGAATGTTGCTGTTACAAAAATAATTTTTTTCTGGCATGTTTCCCTGTTGAAGAGTCTACTACGTTGCATATAAAATGTAGTCTATACTCGAAATATACTACGGCACGTATTCACAAGACATCATTCCTTCATATTTCTCAGAGATGGGAAACCACATTGGAATTATCATAAGATATCAGCAAGTCTTCATTAATTGTCTTGCTTACATACAAGTTTTGAATAAATACAGTTTCACGTCTTTTGATGAAATTGAATGACGACATTGTTCAATTCGTGGATAATTTTCGAGGATTAAGTATGCAAATCTCATTTGTTTAGATTAATATATAATAACAGCATAAGAGAATGGATAGGTTCTCAAGATCATTTCTTTTTTTTTTTTATTCTTCATCATATTTCAACTAAAAAATATGATTATGTGGCAAAGAATTGATCATACCAACTGTTTCGTTCTTCTGTTCATTTTTCTCAACAGTAGAACAATCGAGAGAATTTTCTTTAGTTCTCACTCTGTTTGTGTCCTCTTAGATTTCGATCATTGATTGAAGAAAAGAATCGAGTTTTGAACAATTAAATCTCAATTCTATATAAGACTTGAATTGTTTGTGTTCATTCTGTAGTTCAATCAGTATCTGTAGACAAGTTCCATTAATATAATTACTGTATTTGATATTGTTCTACAGGGTGACAGTCTTTCGCATTCGAAAAATTCGTCAGAGCTAACGGCGAGTCTAATTTATAATAAGGAAAGCTGAAAAAAAATACAACTTACTATGCTGCTGCCATCACCTACTACAACATAGTCTTCGCGCAAATTCGAAAGTCGGCCTCAGTTTATTTTCAGTCGAGCATTATTCTCTATTTGAAAATACGTCGTTAATCTTGAATGACATTAAGAGGAGTTTTATTGATGATGAACTGCAACTCTCACAGTCTTGACAAATCATTAAGTAACGAATAAAGTCTGATTCAAAGATCTTCTAGTTTATGTTAGCGTCGCGAATTCCTTTTTGCCGTCTTATAATTGACAACAATCCATCGATTTCTATGAACATTTATTGAGGCAAAAAAAATAGTCTAAAATAAAAATTTCATAAGAAATTCTTTTAGACATTGAACAATAACTAAGGTTAGATAGGCACCATTTCAGTGTGCGAACAGATTCATGAAAATCCATTTTATCACATCAAATTACTGGTGTTCAATGCAATTCTTTATAGATTGAGTACAAATGTCAATAAGTTGATCAAGAGTCTGTTGTTTATTAATTGTTTCAGCGTCCAAGACAACTTTCATATGTTTATCATTTTTTTGTTCGACAAGGATACATGGTAATGGTGTGTCCTTGAGACTAGGATATTCTTTTTCGAATTCGTCACGATGTAAAAATATAGTGTCAAAAGCTAAACCAGAGATGAAGACATGCCATTTTTTATGCATTCCTGTATTGCCATATGTCAATGCACATAGTTGACAATTGTACGTTGATGGACGTACAATCTTATGAGTCCAATCCTTCAACATATTTAAAAAGCCGGAATCAGCATTGTAGACAAATAGAAGGCGATCCCTAGATGATAAAGCCGGCTGATCGGTGGAGATTTTTGTGTTTGTTGCCATTATGATAATGACCTACAAAAATTTAAGTTTGTTAGTGCTTTTCGATCGAGAAATGTTCAATAACAAAAACGATCATCGACAGAGTATTCAAATGAGTTCTCGAATCAATTATCATTCAGTCAGCGATGGCCAAAGAGTCAGGTTCTATCACGAATGTTTAAGCAATGGTATAATCCGATATTCATCCACTAGTCACTCTATTAAGGAGTGGAGAGAGCATATCAATATTCCCAAGGTTCTGGTGCTTATTAAATTAGATAGATCTATTAGAATGAGATAAACTTTCTTCGATTGTCATCTGCTTTAACTTAAAATTGATATATAACAGCTATAAATGTTGCTGATTGTTCAATGAAGACTTTGATCATCGAAAGAATTCAAATTAGTCGATTTCGAAGCAGTTTTCTATTCCATTTTATACTCTTATGGAAATGAAATAATGCCATTCTCAAAACTGTAAGTCACATTTTCGGATGACTTTTTGTATTTCTACCTGTATTTTATTCATTTTTATGAACATTCTTGTCAATTACCTCAAGAAACAATCACTCAAAAGTAAATGCAGCAAAAAAGAAATCATTCAAGAAATGCAAGAAGCATTAAAAACAGAAAATAAGAATACGTAGATAAATAACAAGAACTGAGTAAAGATAGGTCTGTTAACTTAACCACACATCAGCACCGTTAATATGAGACAAGAAAGAGGGCGTTAGTTCACTCATCTCATATTGATGATCAACATACATACTCTTTTTTTCTACCTAAAATTCTACGGAATCAATGCTTCTGTCTCAAATTAAGTTCTAAATTAAAAGTATGCTGTACGTTATTGAATATGAAAACAGAAATATGCGACACTTTCTCAAATGTCAGAAAGATAGATCTCCTTTATTTCACTTGTATAGTAGATTTCTTTAATTTTCAATCTATTTGATAAATGTATCATATAGATAATGGTATTTCAATTCCGACAATCAGTTTTGTTGAAAATAAATACTTTTAAAAATTATGTATAAAATGAAATAAGAATTTCTCAATAATGTTGGATAGGAAATCATATTTTCCAGACAACCGATATAGCTATCATTTCAAAGGAGATAAATAACAAAATTCTATTGGAAATGAAAGCTCATTAGAAATGGTATTTATCAATATTACATAGTAACAGTTATGAAGAATTTCTCATATTCAACTGTCAAAACTTCTACAATGCTGTGAATGCAATCGCCATGATCTACCAATAATGATTCATAAGACAGAAGAAAAAGGGATCTTTCAAACAAATTAAGTAGAGTATCCTAGAAATGATTACAAAGTGTGGCTTTAATTTACAAGGTGTGTCTGTTCATATTCTTCATTACGATATACTTGACCAGGATGTAGACGTGGGTTCGGGTACACAGATGTAAGGACGCTATCGGCGCAGGTTGCTTTACGCCCATCCGCATCAGTGGCGTACGCAGAAATTTTTCAAGGGGGGCCCAACTTCGTAAGGGGAGCCCGCCATGACACAAAGAATTTTTTATCACGCGAAAATATTTTTTCCTGTACCCCCCTTCAGGACTTTTTCGTCTCAAGGGGGAGGGGGCCCTTGGCCCCCCCCCCCTTCGTACGCCACTGATCCACATCCAGAATCCATAGGTCTATTTATGCTTTTGTTCTGGTTTTCATCACGAGGATTCGATCCCAGATGCTTGATTTTCTCTATTCAATTAAATAGAGCTCCGTTAACCAGTAGTACCCACTGTTCCGACTTTCTCAAGAGGATCTTACTTATGTTTTTTTTTCTACGCACTGCTTCACATACTAGTAAATGAGTACTTAGCGGAAAACTGATCCTGAGCGTCTTGACACAATCACTCGTAGAACTTATTCAAGATATCCTATTTAAAAAACATATCAGCAAGAGTGGAGACCATGCCTCTCACTGTCGGAGCTCAACCTTCACCCGAAACTAGTCTAACTCGACACTGCAGGATGTGAGTGTATTGATGTAAATATGCTCTTAACCCATGCTACGCCCATGTCGAACTAGCCGTTAATGTCATCCTGATTTTAAACCAATTGAAAATGTGTGGAAACTTCTAAAGATGAATTTAACAAACAAAAATATCTAAGGCTTTACCAGCGATGGGTCTCAGTTTGCAAAAAAGAATAGAAAAATTTTCATACTATACTAATGATCAGAGTGTGAATAATGTTTTCCTAATATACATTTCAATATTTTCCTTGTCGATTAACAATAATATGACGAATACTCTTACGAGTCAATTTTTTACATTTATTTAAAATGAATCTAATTTAATCAAATGTACCCGAATTACAGAAAAGTACAGTCTTATAAAAAAAAACTTCTAGATCATTTCACTGTTTAACATCTCTTAACTAGACATTGTGTATTGTTTTGTAGATCACAGCTGTTTTTAAAATTATGATTTCAGTGTGAGAGTGTATTTTTGTGAAAAAATGCACCGTGAAGTTGAAATACAATAGAGAAAAGTCTAATAGGTTGTTGTTTTTGTAGAAAAGAGATTTCTTTCAGCAGTTTTTCAAACTAACCTTTCTCTGTTAGAAACAAAGTTATATACTCCATTAGAAAATTAGGATATGGCAGCTTTGTGAATCTCACAGAAAATATAATTTAATTGATTTTAAAGTGAATGAAATTATTGATCATTTCAATTGAATAGAATAGATTAGATTTTTCATGTAAAAAGTTCAGTTTTTTTTTATTATAAATAGAAGTAATTTATTTACGACTATGCATTTGAGATTTTGATAAAAATGAATTGATTTCAAATGATTCAACTATTTCATGAAGTTAATGAGAGAAAACAAAAAGTATATTTTATTTCATATATAAAACAAAACTTTTATACTAGTCAAATATTTTCTAAGAAAATCAAATGGATCAAGTAAATGGTGGTCTGTAAGACGATCATGACGTGTATCATAAATACGTTGTAATAAGTATTTTCTTTCAAGTGACTATACGTGCCAGTCTTCTCTTCACTCACACCCCACACCCAAATTAAGGGCTTTAGAAAACAAAAAAGATTTCTACCATGTAAAATCTTATGAAGATTGGCTACTAATAAGAAGTTAATAATTGGAGAAAGGCAGAATGATTAACAGCAAATAATATTGTTTAAAAAAGAACCTATCTACAGAAATGAGAAAAGTTCATAGGGACTTCTACATATGCTTCGTTTTTTGGTAAACCTAGAGGTTTTTTGCATGTGCATGCAGCCTTTTTTGAGTAGCTACACAGGTTTTTTTATGTTTTCATGTTTGACTGGACAGTCAATACAAAACTGACTTATGTTATTTTGCGTAGTCTTTGCAATAAATAAGTGTCTGTTAGCTGCTCGCGTACATAAGTGATGTTTTTTTTATGACAATGGATATTCTTTTTCTTCGTTTGTATGTGAATAAATGAATATTATGAAGGTGAATGATTGTTGGATATCTATTCAGTCAAATGTAAATATTGTAGAACAATATTCGTATTGATTTACTCTCAAAAAATTCTTTTGTACAATTTATTATTCTGAATTTTTCAATGAAATACTAGCGAACAAATAGATATAAGGCAATTCCATTACTACCAATATTAAGAAAAAAACTACGCATTGATAAATTCATTGTATTGATTGTGCAAATTTTCTTCATAATCAATATCGAATTCTATATCGTTTGATTTTCTTGCATAATATTTATTCAATATTTGAAAAGATTTCTGGTATAATTTACACAAAAACAAAAAACAAGGAAAAATGTGAAAATTTAAACATAGAACTTCAGTTAATTTCAAATCAAATATAATTTTCAATAATCACGTATTAAAAAACTTTTTAGCAAATAATGATGAGTTCAATACCATAATGATCCGAAAGATTAGTTACAATCGTTCCATTTGTAGAATCAATTTCTATTAGTTCATCGAATATGCGTCGTGTAAACAATTTGAATGGATTAAATATTTGTCCATGTGTAAATATATGATCAATAATATATTGATCAGTATTTTTAACAACAAGATTATCTGTACATCTTGTACAAAGACTATGCATTTCTGTATAATCATCATACCATCTTGTTAATTCATTAGCATCATTTAATTGATGTATATAATTCCAACTATCAGGTTGACTTGCTAATACATTATGTTCAAAATTAGCAATACCCATATTAAAATCACCTGCCATAATAGCATTTTTATATTTTCGTCTATTATAACGTAAAAAATTCGAAACAAGAGATTCAAGTTCTATTATTTGACCTTTATTTTCATCATTCCAACTACCATATGTATTATTGAAAAATGTTCCTATAGGTGCATGAGGAATAGGTGTTAAAACTGTAGCCACATGTGTATTGGCAATAATTAACTGTTTATTTTCTTGACTAACAATAATATAACCACGAGGTGCAATATAAAATTCTGAATATAAACTACTGGCTAGTTTCTTTAATGGATATCGTTGTTTTGCTAATATCATCAGACCAATTGAATGATCCCAAGGAGCTTCAGTAGAATTAGGAATAATACCCGGTGAAGTACTAATCAATTTAGGTAAATTAATAGCACCACAATAATTCAAGCCTAATGGATCTTTACGACTTATAAATCGATCAAAAATACACGACCAACATTTTGAATTCGTATAAAGAGCTAGAAATTGTGTTGGACATTGAGCTATGGCACATACAAATAGTACTGAATCACTAACATTAGAACAATGTGTAAAAAGACAAATTTGTACATTCGTTATATCCGAAGCTGAACAAGCAGGACTGTATGTTTGTGTAGGTAATGTATCACGACGAATATAATCACGCATATCATCATTTACGACTTCAAAATAAAGATAAATATCTTTAACAGATTGATAAATTTGACGTAAAATTTGTGGACCACCCCATACTTCTTGTAAACAAAGAATATCGACATTTTTCTCACGACTAGCTTTAATAATCGANTGTATTGTCACAAAATATATCAAGTAAATTCCACTCTTCTTCACTATCATTGGCTCTCATGTCAATAAGAAATTCGCCAAGATAGTTAAATGAAACACATGGATAATTGAAGGTGTGTTTAGTTGAGAGTGCACAAAATCCAATACCTTGATTGGGTACTTCCATCATGTACTCTTTCACATTTATTATGCTGTTCCGTCTATCATTAATATCATCAGTTAAGGGGCGTTTAAATATTTTGTCATAGATTTTTATTGAGTTTTTGCACCTTTTCCCTCTCATATATTCACTTGTCATTATTTATAGATTTGTTCTGTCCTATATACGTGATCCGCATATTTTCAGATTTCCACTGCCATTTAGTTATGGCTTCTTGTGAAATTATTCGAAATCCATAGGTAAAAACAATAACTTGTTTTTTATTTATTGATATCTTTCTTGAGTATTAGTTTCAGTCAAGGAAAAAAGAATCATTAAACAAACAGAGTCCAATATATAGGGTTTTTTATTTTCATGCATACTGGTGTGAAATATGTGCTATTTAAATAAGCAATGTACATGTAATTCAATATGATATATACATTGTTGTCTTCTTTTTCTTCGTGAGGAATAGTCGCGTTTTCTTTTGGCTTGTATTCTTCGTTTTGTACTTTGATTTTTCCAATGTGATGATTTAATACGCCTTGTATTTTTTGCTTTTTCTCAACAATAGCATTGATATACTGATTTACACCGGCAGAATTGTTTAAACAGTCGAAAAAAATATTTTGTCTAAATAACAATCACAGCCGGAAACATCGACTCCCAATAAAAGACGACTAAACGATAGCATGGTTTCGGTGATCCACCAATACAGAAATAGCGACGTTGGAATAACAATAATTTTCAATCAGTTCAGGAAGAAACACATGATCAAACTAAACGAACAATGACGAAGGAAACAGTGAATCACAGGCATCACTACAGAACTTCTTTCGATCAGATCAAAAGAAGTATCTCGAGTAATCTTTTTCTTTATTATGATTTGTTGAAGAAGGAATTAATGCCCGGAGACCTTTTAAGGCATCGTTCATAAGTTAACAATGACACTGGTAAAAAAAGCAAGGTCACTACAGAAGAGTAGTGTAACAAATGAACAATACAGACGAACGTGCGCAGCAAAAAAAGCGCAAATCGAAGAGAAGAACTGAAAGGAAAAACGAAATATATGCATGGAAAAAAGAAAAAAACAAAAACAACACGGTTTAAGATCGTTTGGTATCTATAGGACTGTGTGAAGGAATTCAGGGAATATCTCAAGTTCATTTTTATGTATGAAAGCAATAGAATCTGTAGCGTTATTCTCTTACCACCTTAGACAATACTCAATGCTCGGAACGAATGGTACTATTCGTTTGGACCGATATACACATCTTACTGCATATGCTTTGTCTAGCCACTAATTTCTGAACGAATTAGGTACTTGATGCTCAAATAACATGGATCTACCTATTGACTTGTTCAGACGGATAGGATACTTCTTCCAGTATCGTATGCATAGATTTTCTAAGGATTTCTCATTATATACGGACGCAAAGAGGAAGTCGTTTCAGTAAGGAGCTCATAGAGTTTGCTTTAAACAAGTGTAGTAAAAATGGTTGAGATCGTTCTTTTGACAATCAGTGAATAGGAGAGGGGGGGGGGGTATGTTAAACAACCACGTCAATAGGTAGAGGATATAAGTGGAGAACAAGTTCTTAAGAAATTCTTGCGAAGAAGAAGTGTACATATGACATGACTTTACTACGGCTACTCTTTGTCTGATCTTACTTTAGTACAAGGAGATCATCTTGTTCCACCCAAGTTTACACGATATGTGGTAGCCGAGATATCTAAAGTTGTTGACCCAGGTGATTATATGATCTCCCATAGTCATATCAAAGCTAGGTTTATCAACCGCGCGTGCCGACCATAGTAATTCGGTTTTATCATAGTTTATCGGTTGTGCGGATAGGGTGGTATAATACTCGAGATACTTAAACAGTTTTTTGAGCTTAGCCTTGAAGTCAAGACATTGCTGTGAGTACATAGTTCCCATCATATCTCCTAGGACACATGCTAAACCATCCGCAAAAAAGTTAGGAAAAGTATTTTCTAAGAAGGTCCACGTATCACTGTGGTACGTGATAAAGATAGCGGGGGTCAAGCATGAGCCCTGATGTCCTCCTTTGAAGATCTGGAAGAACCTTGGGCGTTTCTTCTTTATCTCGATAAAGCTCTATCTGTCCTTTAACCAACAATCAATCCACATTACGTAGACTTTCGGTGTACCTAGACGGGTTAGTTTACCTAGGCATGCAGCCCACCAGAGCTGGCCAAAAGTCTGTTTGAAATCAACAAAGACGGTGGCTACGAGAGCGCTTGTACTCATCAGGAGGGAAGTTTGCTCGATCAAATGAAGCACACGATCCTGTAGCCTAAAGTTGAATCTGAAACCTGATTGCAAGTCATTCAAAATACCTCTATTTTTAGGAACGGGCTGGAAACGACATAGAAACAACTGTTCCAGTACCTTTAAAAAATATCGAATAGAGAGATCGGTCTAATGTCATTTACGACAACAGATCGACTCCTCTTTGGCCAGCAACTTCATCTTTACATGTTTCCAATAGGAGGGTGATGTGTACGTGGTAAGTGATTCATTATATATCTCCAATAGTGTTCTTCGATATGTATTATCAATAAATTGAACCATATACATTGAAATGCCATGTGTGTCCGTGAAAGTTTTCTTTTCATTTGAGATATTACTTTCATAAGTTCAGACATTGAAATGGGAGGGATCGGATCTTCGTAATTATCCCAATGTATCACAGGATTATCTAAGTAAGAATGTAGGCGGTATACTTGAGATTCATAGAAGAGACTCTCGTAGTGGGAAACAGCTAGCTCGAGCATACCGTCTGTATCTTTGATGGGCTCCTTGTTTATGTCGAGAAAAGCATCGAGAGTGTTATTCGTTCTAAAGTTTTTTCAGTTTGGACCAGAATACATTTGAATTAGACGATGAGGTGAATCTTTGATCCAGTGCATTAGTTAGTTTACTTGGGCGGAACGCAATCAATTCTTTCCTATTTAATCTTCCCACTTCTTTAATCTTTCGGTGTAATAGAACACCTCCAGTTCTTTTATGCTGGAAGGATAAGACCCGTATATAGGATAGTTTCAGTCTCAGTTCTTTAGGGTTTGCAGTGTGATATTTATTTATCGGAGAAAAGCTAGTACGTCTAGCTTTTAGAAAATCCAGTAGGGTGAGAAAATTCTTATAATATTCCTCAGTAGAGCAGCGCTTACTTTTACTCTCCCAAAATTCGAAGTTGAGTGCGAGGAAACAGTAAAAGACTCTCCAATGTGTATTACTACCTTGTGCATTTTTCTTGCTTTCGCAATGCAGTACTCTCAGAATCGGTTTATGATCACTGGTAGTGTTATCTATATAAGTTTGAATCGTAATCAGAATACTACGTGTAAATGTGTACTCGATAACTCTATTAGAACAAAAGGATGTGGGCGAGTTGAGGACGATCGAAGCAAGTGCTAGTGCTCCAGGCCACTCAATTAGATTTTTAGCAGATCTCTCATCAGCCTTACTCTCTAGATCAATATTGGAATCTCCGAATAAGCAGCATTCGTCCGCGATGTAACCAGAGAGGAGGTTCCATTCCTAGGTTTTACTCGTCAGAGCGTAGATACCGATTATACATATTGTTCTTTCGAGCTTAACATCAACAACACATACATTAGGAAGGTCAGTTTTTATGCGGACTACTGGTATACTTAGTCTAAACAACATTGAAACACTTCTCCACGAATTTTTACTTTTTTGGCAGAAAAACTTATAATTGACGAAAATCTGTTTTATTTGTGCTAGCTCTATTGCCCATATTTCAGTTAAGATAACACAATCTACTTGGTATTTCTCAATTAATAATAAGACTTCTTCCCATCTTTCTTCCAAACCATGTACATTGAAAACAAGAACCTGAAATTGAGTGGACAATGAGCAAGCACAAACTTTGCTGAAGGTTTTCCAGTAAGAAAAACAAGAAGAGAGGGTAGGTAAAGAAAACCACTCGTTAACAATATCAGAGAATAAACTAAAGTCAAAAGCAGAGAGGAATTGCACGGTGAGAAAAAGTACATAATTCACATTAAAGCTTTTCGTTTTCACAATAGTTGGGGTAAATACTTCGGCGAGTGGGGATAAATTGTGGGAAGTTATTATTAACGTTATCTAGTGGTGAGTGGTTATTCTAGTTAGTTGCTACACTGAAAGAAAAAAAGGTACCGTACCGAACTTAAAAAGGTTTCGAATTTTGAAACGAATTCTAAACCTTTTTAAGTTTCGTACGAAACTGGTTCGGTATGAAACTTGTTTGAAAAACCATNCAGTTCGCATCATATATATAGAGATCGTACAGCCTGATACCCTTGTAGACTCATACTCTTGGTGTAGTACTTCTTATAGCCTTACTCCGTTATTTCCTTATCCCTTATTTCCTTCCCAGTCTTATCCATTTATACTATATACCCTTATCCCTTAAGCCCATGTACCCTTAGCCTCTTATCCCCTTTACTCTTATATCCTAATCCCCTGCTCCCTTTTAGCCTTATAGCCCTTGTGGACCTATGGGTACCACAATACAATAGCCCTTGAGGACCTGTGGCTTCCTCAATATAATAGTCCTTGAGGGCCCAGGGGTACCCCCATAGGATAGCCCTGGAGGACCTATGGGTACCTCCATATAATAGCCCTTGAGGGCCCAGGAGTAGCCCCATAGGATAGCCCTGGAGGACCAATAGGTACCTCCATATAATAGCCCTTGAGGGCCCAGGGGTGCTACCATTTAATAGCTCTCGAAGGCCCAGGATACTTCCATATAATAGCCCTTGAGGGTCCAGGGTACCTCCATGTAATAGCCCTTGAGGACCTATGGGTACTTCCATATAATACTCCTTCAGGACCTATGGGTATCTCCATATAATAGGCATTGAGGACCCCTGAGCGCTC